TCATTGGTTCTCCCTGGAGAACCTTATCAGGCCACTGAAATTATTCAAAACCTTTGTGCTGCACCCTCTAGGCAAGGATTAGAGACACAGCAAGGAACAAATGGATTGGAACTGATTTCTATCCATCCGTGGATTACAATGGCCAGAGGAAGCAAACACAACGGAAATCTTCACGAAAACTGACATAACATCATGTTATGTCTACAGTGTAGATCTATATTGGTAAGGGTGTAAAAGGAAGCCTTCTTATTGGAGGGAAAGGCTTTCAAAGGAAGCACATGGACAGCCAAGACTTGATGTGGGAGTCCCCTCTGTGTGCTGTGATTACCATTAATGAATAAAGAAACTGCTTTGGACCTCTAGCAACCCTGCACTTAGCTAGGCGTGGAAAACTAAACTGAATGCTGGGAGGAAGAAGGCGGAGAGAGAAGAAGCCATGTAGCTCTGCCAGAGACAGGCACTGGGAACTTTACCTGGTAAGTCACAGCCACATGGCGATACAAAGATTACTAGAAATGGGTTAAAGATATAAGTGTTAGTCAATAAGAAGCTAGAGTTAATGGGCCAAGCAGTGTTTTAGATAATATAGTTTCTGTGTGACTTTTTCAGGTCTGAGCTGCTGGGGGGCCAGGAGACAAACAAGTGGTCCTCTTACAACAAAGACCTATTGACAAAGAAGAGTCAGCTACACAGAAAACACTCGTCTTGGCATGGAAGATCACCTTCAAGACCAATGGGGTCAGCGAATATTTTCTTTCCAGGGCCAGACCAAATATATTTTTGGTTTTGTAGACCACATAGTTTCTGTCTCATCTGTTCATGTGTAACAAAACAGTTGCCACAGACGCTACAACAATGATCGGATGTGGCTGTGCACCAGTAAAGCTTAGCCCCAGCCACTAAGCTTCACTTAATTTTCACACGTCACAAAATATTCTTTTGAATATTCTTCAACATTTGAAGGTGTGAAACAATTTCCTAGCTTCCAAGCTCCCATTAACAAGTCTGACAGGCAAACACTGGGAAGGAGAGTACAATCTGCCATTCCCCAGCCAAGACTGAGGTGCAAAGAACCGGCTGTGTTTGGAGGACTCTAACTGGATTCCCTGTGTATGAATTAAAGTGAGCAAGGGCATAAATGGCCTCACATACCATCCTCTGGACCAGGGTGCATGTGGTTTTATTTACCCAGGAACACAGTCACTAGAGGCTTCCATGGTAGGTGAGAATGTTCCAGTTCTTATGTACACATTTCTTTGCCCTAAGCAGTCTTCACATCCCTGGTGAAGTTATCTAAGACATTTCCTCTCCAACTTCATAACCATCAACCAAACTGCACACCAACGCAAGCCCTTAAAAGGCTACTTACCTAACCTCTTCTCCAATTACACTCACTAAAGTCCCATCTTTCCCTTGCAACTTATATGCCATACCCAAACTACATCATGGGATATGTTGAGAAAATCCTTCCTGTTTTTACTACTAGATAAAGCCTCCATGTGGGCCCTGAGGCTCTTGCCAAATTATCTGCCTGCAGAAAGAAAACTTATTTCTCCCAGAACATTTTGCATGTCTCTGTATCACTGTGCTTGGAATGTCTCCGTCCAATGGCTCTGTTTCCATCCATCCGACTCCCCCAGACTTTATTTACTATATGCCCTGGACTCTCCGCTTGTGTATGCTAAGGCTTAGTTCCTATTGTCCCCTTTTTTTCCTGGTGTCTTTCCAGCCCTTGCTGCTTTACAACAAGAACTCAGTCAGGACTTAGAAATGCAGTAACAAAAAAAGAATACAGAAATGATGTAGCAAGATGGTCAGTGGGAAAGGTGTTTGCTGCCAGACCTAACAATCTGAGCTCAATCCCTGGGACCCACCTGGCAGAAGGAAAGAACTAACTTATAAAAGTTATCCTCTGACTTCCATATACCACATGTCTGTGGATGGTGTACCCATACACAAATACAACAATAAAATAATAGCAGTAAGTTATTTAATGAGTAGACAAATGACAGCTTAATAAACTGTGTAACATGAGGTCCTGCTTTTTGGGGTTTTCTGTCCTGCCCAGTTCCCCACAGCCGGCAAGCTCCAAAGAAAATCACACAGAGATCTCCATAAGTTATAATACTGATTGTCCCATTAGCTCAGGCTTCTTATTAGCTCTGGTAGCTTATAACAACCCATTGTTCTTATCTATTTTAGCCACATGGCTTGGTACCTTTCTCAGTTGGGCAGATTACATATTGCTTCTTCCATGGTCTTGGCAGGACTGGGAGGAATCAGCTTCCTCCTTCCCAGAATTCTCCTGTTCTCATTGCATCACTTCTACTTCCTGTCTGGTTTTCTCACCTATACTTCCTGCCTGGCCAATCAGCGTTTATTTAAAACATGATTGACAGAATACAGACAATTCTCCCGCACCAAAACTGAAGAGCATAGAATCTCACATTCTTATATGAATATGTATTGGAACAACTCTACTGAAGCTGTCTAACATTTCTGTATCTCTCGCTAATGAATGAAGAGCAATGACCCTTTCCTTATTCCCCATACAAGCATGCTTTTCTTCATAGTACAAGAATCAAGCATAAAATTGACAGAGGCTTTATAAACCCTCAGGCTAGAAGCATCTACATCACCCAACAACCTGCTAGAAATGAAACTCTTCAATTCTTAGTCCCTGCCCCAGGGCTGCTGGCACAAAATGTACTGCTTAACAAGACCTCCAATGATTCAGCTACACATTAAAGTTTCAGAAGTGCCATAAGAAGACCTTTGAGGAGATGTGGTCATGTTAATGCCAAAAGGATGTTCCGCAGGAATTCTTATGCATGCTAAAAAGACAAAAAGGAAACAAAACACCATGCCAATCTTAAGTTCACTTTCAGAAACATGAATAAGCAGAAAAGCAATGTTTTGACCTTTCCTCAAAATATTTTAAAAGGAAATTGAATTTCTAAAAATAATACCTAGACAGTCATGACAGAACAGGCCAGTAGTTACATCTTCCTTAGAAATTTTAGGCAGAAGGATTGCTTGAGTCCAAGAGTTCTCAGCTGTAGTGTTTCATGCCTAGGGTTCACAGTGAGTTTGGTATCAACATTGTGACCCCCAATCTTAGGGATCACCAGTTTTCCTGATGACGTATCAACTGGCAAAATGAAGCATGTTAAAAATAAACCCATAGATGTTCTTAGGAAGTTACAGACACTCTTGTCTCATCTGGAAATTATATTTTGACTTTATGTATTGAAGACTGATCTCAAGTACAGTACAAGACAGTACAGGCCCTGAGGTCTGTACATGCAGTCTCATGTAAACACAGGACCATCTTCCCAGTGCTCTGAGCTGAACTCAATACAACTTTTCTTCTATATGCCCACAAAGAGAAATGCACTCAACCATGTCCTTATCTTGATATTAAGGTTGGGAAATCTTGAAGAACACCATCACCCTTGTTCCCTGTCCCAGTCTAAGCGGTTTGCTTCATGGAGCACTTTCAGTACCTGCTGGAATGGGCTGGAATTCAGAGCGTGGTAAGAGGTTTTAAATTCTGGTTGTATCATGGGTTTGGTAAAATCATATGTCATCTCTGCTTCAGTGTCCCATGCTGATGACAGGCAGAACTTATGAGAACTAGGCTGATTGGTGTCTGGGACACCCAGAGCCAGTGGCAGTGCATGTGTTCTGTGTTCTGTTGTGTGTTTCAGCCCACCTGGGCTAAGTCTTCAAACTGAACTGACCCTACTCTCTCACTACATAGAAAGAAAAGAGAGGTCCCTGGGATAAGAATGACTTTGCTCAAAGCATGCAATCGCTGAAGGCAGAGGTGCAATCAGATTCTCAAAAAACCCTTGACTCCTGAGAGAGACCATTTTCAAACTCAGCAACCACGGGTGGCTTTCTGCAGATTTAAATTGACGAGACAGGCAGTTAGCCAGACCTGCCTTGATAAACACGGCTCTCCTATTGCCTCCTTTGTGTTCACAGATTCCCTTTCTCTACCCAGCTCGAACGACAACCCAAATAACTGATGCCTTGTATCACCTGACACTCTGGGGCCAGTAATGAATCACACACGCCCTGGCTCAGGTGATGGATTCTCTATGCAGCAGACCACCGAGGGGTTTTAAGTCCGAGGTTCCCAGAGGAGCTGAACTTTCTCACCCATCCATCTCTGAGGGGAGCCATTAAGCTGACATCACCATTTTCCACACTTCATAAAGGAGCGCTAACATCTGGAAATGGAAACCACCTGCCAGAGCTTTGACCACGATCACCGTATCACTCAATGGCAGGGAAACTCAAGGGCAGGTAAAATGAGAAAGAGACATCGTGAATGTCAACAAGGCCAAAGATGAATAATTTGGGGCTAAGAGTGTGTAGATAGAGAAGGCTCTCGTCAGAAGGACTGGCCTTGAACCCTAGGCCCGCCACTTTCTAATTGGAATGGCAATTAACCTCTCTGAACTTTGGCAGAACACAGCTTATTAAGAGAACTGGTTTGGAGTCAAATGATCTCAAGTTCAAATTCCGACTCTCCTGCATACTTAGTACGTCACTTCTGGTGATGTGCTTCCTCCTAATGATCTTAAGTCTCCTAATCTACAAAACAGAGGTATAACACTATAAGAAAAGAAAAGAAAAAAAAAAACACTTGGGCTTAATAATGCATACCTGTAATCCTAGCACTCAGGAAGTAGAGGCAGGATCTTGATCTTGAGGTGAAACAGGGCTACAAAAGAAAGTTCTGTCCCAAAACAAGGAAAACAACCTACTGCACAGAGAGTTAGGGTTCAAGAAGATGGTACGTAAAGTACCACAGTGCCTGACACCTGTGTATGAGAAAGAAAGATTAACTACAACCCAAACAAGAAGATGGGCCCCTCCAGACTGTCTAAGGAAAACCAAACACTGCAGACTTGACAGGGCATTCTTAGTCCCTGGAGAAGGAGCCCCTCGACAACCGTTAGTACCCTTCCCTCACCCCACACACTCACCTCCTTCAGCCAGAGGAGCTTTGGGGCCTGCATCTCCACAGACATTATACCACCCACGTACCGAAGGACACCATGCTTGGTCTTATTGATCCTCTGAACCTGGCTGACTGCTCGATGGTCCAGCCACATAATAACATTTCGCTTGGAATCCCCTAAAAGACATGAGAGAAACATGCATACACATGTATTATTTTCTTCTACTTCAAAGGAACAATGATGAATTCCCTGGCAAAGCACTACCCTACTTCAACAGTGGTGCGGGAGAATTGTCTGTAATCTGTCAATCATGTTTTAAATAAACGCTGATTGGCCAGGCAGGAAGTATAGGCAGGAAAACCAGACAGGAAGTAGAGGTGATGCAATGAGAACAGGAGAATTCTGGGAAGGAGGAAGCTGATTCCTCCCAGTCCTGCCCAGATGACTGAAGAAGCAACATGTGAGCTGCCACGCTGAGAAAGGTACTGAGCTGTGTGGCTAACATAGATAAAAATAATGGGCTAACATAAGTTCTAAGAGCTAATAAGTAGCCTGAGCTAATGGGCCAATCAGTTTATAATCTTATGGAGTCCTCTGTGTGATTTTCTTTGGGGCTTGCCAGCTTGTTGGGGTACCGGGCAGGACAGAAACTCCAACAAGCCGACCCTCATGTTATACAACAGTGATTCATGTGTCAAGAATGAACAAAGTGCTGGAGTGATGGACATGACTCAGTGGGTAAAGGCACTTGCCACCAAGCCTGACGACCTGAGTTTGATCTCCCGAACCCACATAGTAGGAGCAAATCAACTTGTGCAAGTTGTCTTCTGACCTCCACACAAAGGATGCTTACTGTTCTTAAGCTGTTTATTGGGTTTTTCATCTTTTGGTTAACATCTAAAGAGAGCTGCACTTTCACCAGGTTTGTGGGTTTGGTTTCAATGATTTTCAGGATTATCTGCCTGATAAGCATAATCACTTGGTTCAACCAAGTTTTGGTCCCCACCTTTCAGATAGAAAAAGGTTTTCAAAAAAACTTTAAAACCACCTTTAAAATTCTAATTTCATTTTTCAAGTCACCACCTCAGATAAAAATTTAACCTTCATGTAATCAGTAGGAAGCCAAGAAGGGGTTGAGGGGTTGCATGATCTGGATGCAGTTGAAGAATGGCTATATTTTAATATCTTAGGGAGAATGCAGTCATTCACCTCACAGAGTTGCCATTCAGCTCTGCTTTCAATGAAATGCTGTAAGCAGAGACTATGCTTCGTTTTTCTGCCACCCAGACCCGAATAGTCACACAAAAACTCTATTAATTACAACACTGTTTGGCCAATGGCTCAGGCATATTCCTAGCTAGTTCTTGTATCTTAAATTAACCCATTTCTATTATTTTATATTTTACCATGAGGACCGTGGTTTGTTATCTCTTGCTTCTTGGGTGGCTACATGGCAACCACCTGACACTTCTTTCTTTCTTCCTCTATCTCTGATTGGATTTTCTGCCTTGCTATATTCTGCCCTGCCATAGGCCAAAGCAGTTTCTTTATTCACCAGAGTTGGCAAAAAATATTCACGGCATACAGAGGGGGCTACATCAGAGTGTTTTTAATAAGTCTATCCACAGTGGGAAGCAAGATGATGCACAGAGATATGCACGCAAGCAGCTTTGAGGAGATGGTGTCTTCCCCTGAAAATGTCGCTGCTGATGCTTTTACCGCCCATTCACCTGTAGCCATAAATTTTGCATAGCCAGAAATACTATGGAAACTAATATTGATAAAGCCTATAGTGGTTAATGTTAATTATCAACTTGAAAAATTCAGAATTCCCTGGGAGACAGATGGTTTTCTGAGCTTGCCAGTGAGGGATTTTCTTAATTGGGTTAATTAACACCCCATTATGATCTACCCTGAATGTGGACAGGACCATCTCAAGGGGTGGGCCCTGCAGTGAAGGCGGGGGGCAGAAGGAATGAAGCATCTTATACTCACACTTCTTGCTCTTGTCTTATGACTGCAGATATAAAGTGATCAACTGTTTCAAGCTCCAGAGATCATGACTTCCCTGCTTCCATGTAATACATAACTGTAAGCTAAAGTAAACCTTCTCCCCCTTAGATGACTTCTGTTGAAATATTTCCTTGTCGAAACAAAACAAATATAAAGTTTCATCTCAAGCCAACCACATATTCATTTGGGAAGATAAACTTCACGAATAGTAGCTTGTGAAAAGATGTTACAAAGAAAATGTATTTTTTTTAGCAGATCAGACAGTATGTGCTCCTAGAAATGTAGGATTCTTGACCTTTAAAGTCCTAAACACAGACGTCCTCCTGCAGCAGTCTGAAGAGGAAGGGACAAGAGCAGTCCTACCTTCAAGGTTTACTGGTAAAGGATGAAACTGTTTATCCAAGACAACCAAAGAACACGTGGCATCAAACCCAAGTCCTCGGATTCGGTGTACATCAACCCCTTGCACAATTTTCTGTTTTAAAAGCAAGCAAAGAAAACATAAATTACAATCCGGGCTCTTAAAACCTTGAAAACACGTTGCTACTTGAAGTAAATGAAAACAAAAATTTCAAATTAGCTAAAACATGTCATAAAAATGTTTAGTATCACTATTTAATTTAAAATAACTATCTACCGTGTGTCCAAAGGTCAGAGCGGGGCTTCTAGCAGTGGAAGCCCACAGCTGCAATCCTAAATGAAATATGCTGACAGTGAAATTACTCCTGAAAGAAGCCAAACTTTCCAGGTTCCCATCCTGGAAAGCATCGTTGTTGTGGCTAGAGAAATGGCTCAAGGGTTAACAGCACTTGGTGCTCACTGGGTTCAGTTCCCAGCACACACATGGTGGCTCACAATCTGTAACTCCAGTCCCAAGGGATCTGATTCACTTTTCTGACCTCTGCAGGCCCCAGGCATGTATCTGGATGGGGATTTATTACCCATCCAATAAAATTTTAGAATTTCATTTGTAGAAAATGTTATAGTTGGGTTCAAGATGTTGCTCGTGGCAGAGTCCCTGCATCGAATGCACAAGAGCCTGAATTCAACTCCCAATGCTGGAAAACCAAAACATGCTTTATCATGAAGCAAGCCAAAACTTTTGATCTATGATGTCACAAAAATGTCTAAGATTTTAAAACAGTCCTTGACTTTCTAAAGAAAATTTAATATCACTAAAATACTAAAAGAACTTATAAATGAATAAGAAGAAGACAAGTAATCTAAATGAAAATAATATAAAGCAAAGGTCAAAGTGTATGAAGTTTTTCAATTGTACTACGATTAATCAGTGGAAATAAAATAGCAATTTTTGTGTCTTACATTCGTGAAAATGTTAAAGGTTAGTTGTATATAGCAATGGCTCCACCCCTCTTAAAGCAGCTAAGAACAGATAATGGTTAATTACAATTTTTTGTCAAAAAAGAAGGAGGCAGAGGAAAAAAGGGAGCAGAGAAATATAGGACAGGAGAAAGGCTAGTTGGGAAGAGGAATGGGGTCCACAGAGATGGGATGGAGTGACATGACCATTACATACATGTACAAAAATGTCACAATAAACCCATTATTGTCCATAATCAATATATACCAATAAAAATTTTAAAAGAAATTTAGAAGTAACCCTTCTTGAACATTACTACGGCAAAGAAATTATTGGGTACAAATCTGTAAATTAATTTGACAGTACCTATTAAAATATACTTCTAACTAATGGCCCAGCAATATCACTTTTGGGAACATATTTTAGAAAATTATTATGACCTTAAGTAAATAAAGTCATATATAATATGGCTACTTGCTAACAATATATTTAAAGACCCATTAAATTACATTTTTATCAAATAAATTATGCTGCATTTATACAGTAGAATACAGAAAGTAAAAAAGACACAGAAGAAATTTCTGAGCATAGTGCTATGACAGGGTCAGCAAATCTTTCTAGAAAAATAAAATATAATACTGCATAAAATCATCAATCACAACTATTTGAAGGCTAAGAAAATTGATCAAAGTTACATAATAAATAGAGAAGCATATTTTTTGAAAAATGAAATTGCTGCTTAAAAGATAAAAGATTAAAATTTGACTCCAGGTCTAAGCAGCTTCTCTGGGAAAATTTATAGAACACTCAAGGAGGAAACTTCACCAATGTCAGACATTTGAAACAAAGAGGAGAGCAGGTCCACCAAATCCTACCTGGCTAGCACTGGGTTAAAGGTCAGTTGGAAAGACATTAAAAAGGCACTACAGAAGAATTTTTGTCACAAACATGGTATAAAAATAGTTAGCAAAATACTAGCAAAACCAAATCTTACAGCACATAAAACTGACATCCATGTGCAATTATGCCAGAATTTGCAAGGGTGGTTTAATAATCATTAAGTAATGTAACACATGTTGATGTGGGGTTCCTCTCTATATGCTGTGAATATGTTTTATTACCATTTGTTACTAAAGAAGCTGATTTGGCCTATGGCAGAGTAGAATATAGCCAGGCTGGAAGAGATATATAGAGAGAGTAGATGGAGTCAAGGAGACACCATGTAGCTGCCAAAGGAGACAGATGCTCCAGAACCTTACCAGTAAACCACAAACCTCATGGTAAAATATAAAATAATAGGAATGGGTTAATTTAAGATGTAAGAGTTGGTTAATAAGAAGCCTAAGCTATTGACCAAGCAGTGTTGTAATTAATATAGTTTCTGTGTGATTATTTTGGGTCTGGGCAGCTGGGAAATGTACAAACAGCCTCAGCTTACAACATGTGTTAAAAGAATACAGCAAAAACACAAATTAAAACCTGAAAATACTCCAAAACCATCTTTCAAAACAAACAAAAAACAATAAACTAATGAAAAACTAAAATCTATATAAACAAGAACAAAGCATCCAAAAAGTTCAGCTCTAACATCATAACTAATAGTAAACTTCATTATTGCTCCCATCCACGCAAAATAAGGTCATTTCCATTAGGATTTCTCCCAACCTTTGCTAGCGCTCATGGCCAGGGAACTAAGGGGGGAAAGTAAACTAAAAAAATGCAAATTAGAAAAAAAATCTAAAAGTATTTTTTTATTTCTTTGCCAATGATACAATTTCACATGTTGAAAATGATTTAAAAAAAAAGAAATTAGGAAAAATTACTGCTGGGGTGCAATTTCTACTATTGTAGAGGACCTGAGTTCAGTTCTGAACATCTAAATTGATGTAACTCACAACTGTTTGTAACTCCAGTTTCAGGGAGATTTGAAGCCTCTGACTTCCAGTAGCACATGTACTCATGCACATAGCACACACACACACACACACACACACACACACACACAGCATTTAAAAATAAAATACTTAAAAAGCTACTAGAACTAATAATCAAATCTAATAAGACCACAAGACTGAAGGTTAACAAATAAAAACCAATAGTATTTCTATAGAGTATCAACTAACATATCAAAAATAAAATTAAGAAAATAATTCAATTAATACTCAAAATCAAGATTGAAGGTCTGATTTATTTCAAATTCCCACAAGACTCAAAACATCTCAGAAGAAGGAGCAGAAAGAATGTAAGACGGGGATGAGTGCTGTGGACATGACATGCTATTATACTAATGAGGTCATAGCAGTTGTGGTTCCTGTACAAGTGAGAGCCTATAAATAAACTCATGAGACCCCACCCATCTTTAAGGGACTGATAATTGGTTTCTGCTAGAAGAGGAGCAGTCATTTTTCAGGAGGTGGATGCTGGTAGGTTGCTCATTCTCAGATCTGGGAAGTGGTTCCACAACTATTTGCATGTGTATAGTACTAACTGGACTCAGTTTATTATGAATAAGTGGAAGAGGAGGAAGAAAGGAATACGGATGGAAGGAGAAAATATCTGGGGGGTTTAGATGGAGTGGAATGAGGGTATTTGAGTTGAATATGATCAAGACACATTGTGAGGTTGCTTAAAAGAAAATGCCCCCCAAAGGGAGTAGCAATATTAGGAGGTGTTGCCTTAGAGGAAGTGGGTCACTGCGAATGCAGGCTTTGAGGTTTCTTTTGCTCAAGCTTCTCTCAGTGTGGCAGTCAGTTGACTTACTGTTGCCTGCAAGATGTAGCACTCTCAGCTTCAGCACCACATCTGCCTGCACAACGGCATGCATCCCATCACGGTAACAATGGATTGAACCTCTGAAACTCTAAGCAAGTCACCCCAATTAAATGATTTCTTTATAAGAGCTGTTATGGTCATGGTGACTCTGTACATAAAAAGAAAACCCTAATTAAGAAAGAAGTTGGTACCAGGAACTGAGGTATTGTTGCAATAGTCCAGACCTTGTGTTGGTTTCTAAAAGTAGTGGAGTGCTTTAAGCTCTGCTTAATGGGCCATACTAGTAGGAGCATGGAAGACAGAGATACTAAGGGCTATCTGAACTGTCAGGGGGCTCACTCAGGAGGTTTCAGAGAAGAATTTTCGTATGTTGCCTAGAGGTCGTTCCTGTTATATTTTGGTGAAGAAAGTAGCTGCCTTTTGCCCTCATTCAGTCTGCCTGATGCTAAAGTGAAGAATTTCTGATTGATTTTGTTGGCAAAAGAAATCTCAAAACAGCCTAGAACAGACTGTCATGCAGATATTAGTGGTAGCTCTAATGAAGATTTATAATGAAAAGGAGCAAGCTGATCATGGTAAGTTACAAAAAGTATACTTTGAGGAGGAAAGGAGCACCAGGAATTGTAATGGAGCTACATCCTATGTTCCAGGAGATAAAAGGGATTAAGAAATAGAATAAAGGAAGTAGTGGCTTTAGAGCAAGATCCCACCCAACTAAGTTTTGAACTTGTGGGGGAAAAAAATTATAGAAAACTTTAGAGCTGGGTGTGGTGATGCATGATTTCAATGCCAGCACTGGGAAGGCAGAGGTTGGCAGATCTCTAAGTTTGAGGCAAGCCTGGTCTACAGAGCAAGTTTCAGGATTCAGGACAGTCAAGCTTAGGCAGGGAAGGGCAGAAAGCTGGTGAAGATTTAATTGAATGATGGGGTCTTATTCCAGCCTCACTAAACAGCAGAACTTGGCAGCTATGACCACATGATTCTGGCTTTAGAGTTAAGGATACAAGAAATGGTTGTAAAATTTGCCTCCATACCTAAAGAAAGCTGCTGAGGCCAGTCATGTGTCAGGGGCATCCCTGAATGGAGACCTAGAAGAAAGGCCATTTTGTGAAGCTGTGAAGTTGAAGCCTGGATTACCTTGGAGAACCTAAGATGTTAGAGATGCTAGAGCTGTAGGACCCCTGCAGGGAGAACTGCTAACAGGGGGTAGAACCAGAACAAGAGACAGAAATATGTCGCAGTCAAACCTGAATGGAGTTGGAGATCTGAAGAGCGTTTTGACATGGAAATGAAAAGTTTGAAGTTTGCCCAGCTGGTTTTTGGTCTTGCTTTGGTCCAGCATTTTCTCACTATGCTCCCTTCCCTAAATTTTAGAATGATAG